ATTCAACATCAACAGCAAAGTCTAAGAGGCAAGGCAATGCCCTGGGACTGATAGGAAAGGTAGCTGAGGCCAAGTGGTCGATTGATCTCAGCTGTGCATCAAACACTGCCACTACCACCCTGAAGTATCAGAATTGCCTTTTGGGGCACTGCTTAAAGCACAGTATTTTCCAGGAAAAGAAAATACTTAATCTCTCACTCAGTTTTTAAGGGAAAAGGTCAGGTTTTTTTCTCTTCTATCTTAACAAAAAAACAGCATTTCCCTAAAGAAAATACAGACATTCAGTGATGTTTTCTGTGAACAGTAGGAATCCCAAACACTTGTGCTGGGGCTGCAAAGGAACAACAACACACCTGCAACTTGTGATAAGGGGTAACTAGCTTCTTTTTTTCTTTTTAAAGTGACATGTATGATACAGAAACTATAAGAGAGCAGCAGTACTATAAAGGGAAATAATTCAGGAAGATATAAGTAGAGGCCATTTTGGTTAGATACATATTTTTAGATTGTGAAGTTTAAATGTGTATAAATTTGGAAATAGGTATAATTGGTGGTATTTATGTTTCCTTGTTTCTTAGCTGTCTTTACCATACTGAACAATTTTGTATATACTGTTGTTTTTTGCACTGGTATAATGGAAGCATTCTGGGGAAAACCTCAAGGTACTGGTAGGGATGATGTGCATCTGTGATTCACATTACCACATAGAACCATGGTAGTATTCAAATATTTATGATTGGGAGGAGCCTACTAGAGGGCAGTAATAATACTAATGCTCTGCAGTTGCAATTGTCATTGACCCAAGAACAGAGCACTATAAAAAACATTCAAATATTACCACCTCCATACTGGAAAGAGTTAAAACAGTGCAAAGGAGGAGTAATAACAAAAGATAAGTCTTGCAAAACTCAGAAAGTCGTTGCAGATGTTTCCTCAGTCTGTGCTGCTTTATTTAGAATCAGAAGCATCTGAGCTACTTCTGAGGAGAAGAGGACATGAAAATTATTTATTTTCATAAATAATTATGAAAATTATTATATTGTGTAAATCCTGAACCGCTGAAAAATACTTCTTTTGCTACTTTTCCATTCTCACATGGGAGATTTGAGAGAAGGTAAGCAAATTCTAGTTCAGTAACTTTTAAACCCTTCTTTTCAGCTGAAAGTACATAAGGACATGATTGTCTCCCACCATAAATGTGGAGTCCTTCTCCCCCCATTGGCTTGTTCCATTCTGTTTACAATAGTATTTAACATTTGCTGCAATCTGTTTAATGTTTTTATTAATGTTTGAATGGTAAACATATTTACAAGCCTATCACATGGGTTAGTCAATTTCTAAACATCCTTGATGATCTCTCTTTAGAATTCCATTTAACAGAGACGTAATTATGAGGCTTCTGTGTGCATCTGCAATACCTCCCAGGCTCTGCTGTAAGTCAAGGGCAGAGGAAGATATAGAAGGAAGTTCCAATTCTGCTACCAATGTTGTTAATTACCATGGCTTACTGCTGTAAGAAAGGAATATGCCTATGCCACGCTTTCAAAAACACATTCCAGAATTTAATTTTTTTTCCAGAAAAGTAAATACTTTTCTAAAATTTTCTAAAACAAATATTATGAAATTCTACTTTGGCCTGTGAAAGTTAGATCACTACAATATCTTAAAAGAGAAATCCTTGTTTGACTTTCTATCACTTGTAGTTGAAACTATTTTAAACTTTCACACTGTATTTTCATTTCTAGAAAGAAACAACCAAAGTGTCTCTGGAAGGACCTCATAATCTATTGTATCTCTTATTGTTGATTATCAGTCATATATCTAATTATAGGGGGAAAAAAACAAACAAGAACAACAAAAAAAAAACAGAGATGTTATGTCATGTGCATTCCCCCGCCCCCCCAAAAACATTCAAATAGATCAATTCTTTTCAATCTTTTTGTTTTATTGGATCTGATTCATTTTTGAACTAAATCTATTTCTAAATGTAGGAATTGTGTATTTCTTTTCCAGTTCTTTTGGTCTTGCATTCTCCTTCTTTCTAGTGGGCATAAAGGGGGATTTAAAAAAAAGGAGATTCAAATGCAAAGATATTATTCTCCGGAGAGGAAGATGAACAATAAACCAAAAATCATTTGTATTACTGTGTATCTAACTTGCACCACTTTCCCTGCAAGAAAAAAACTGGGAAGAACTTACTCTAAATAATTTTGAACAATTCTTGCTCTTACAAAACAGTCCTTTAATTATGCCCTTATGCAGCTTCTTGTCATTCTGTGTTTTGTTATGAATGTGTTACCATTCTTTCCCCAAACATGAAAAATAGAAAACCATGAAGGGAAGTACCTTTGTACTTTGAATTATAAAGTATTAACTTGATTCCAAAGGTGTCTACCTTTGGAATGGGAATATAATCCTGTAAGGAATCTTGATTTACATGTGAATCCTCTTATGCATATATGAATGAATGCATTTCTTTTAAACTTGGAGAACTGGGTCTTTCTCCTGAAGAATCATTTCCATACTTAAGACATCATATTTAAAATGACTGCATGTTAGAATAACGTTTTGAAAATGCAGTTCCATGTTATCTCCTTTACAGGAAATAGCTCAGTGGACAGATTTAGTCCAGTTGAACAGCTTTTGCAAATCAGTAGGAGGTCATTAATTCCTTTAAGTCTAAAATGACTAAGTAACGTAAAATACTATACTGAATAAAGATGTAAGACTAAAAATGAGATTCAGACTCTTTCATCTTTATTTGATCTTTGCTTCTTTAAATTTTTAGCTGAAAACTTCATTATTAATAGATTAGCTCAGACTTTCACACCTAATTAAAGCCCAGTTAAGTACCATTTAAACTGCAGTTTTTGTTTTTCTTAAGAGATATTCTAAGGCCATAGTTCTGTAGGCATTTAAATTGAATAAAATGCTCCTCTGTCTGAAAAGAAGCAGTGCATAATAATAAATAAATAAATGTAAATGATTTAGTTTTGAGAAAAGATCAGTTCTCTGCAGTATTTTATTGAGTAGGCACAGAGGTATTAATGTCTGCATCTGGGAGCAGATAGTGAAGAGAGGGCAAGATGGAAAGGAGTGTGGTGAGCAATGCACCTCATGTCCAGTCCTTTTACCTGAACTGTCACCAATTAACAGAAATTTTTCATCAGTGGTCATCATGTTAATTACACAGTCTGTCAAAATTTCTCTAAGGCCAAATGCATCCCAAAGTTATGAAGTGTAAAAAGCAAGAAAAAATATTTTGTACTGTTCTCAGATCAATTAATGTTAATCATCTATCCCTTTGCTTTAGAAGAAATGAATATGAGTTTATAGTCTTTGATATATGACTTTTAGCTACACAGCTTATGAACCCAGTAATTTAACCTACTACAGTCTACCAGGAAGCAGATGCAGGTAATTAAGCAATTTCAGTGAAATAAAATGGCAAACTGGCAAACTCAAAAAACCCAAATTGTACTTCAAATTATATACTGAGAGGTTTGGGAAAGTCAGAATTAGGATATTCTTCTCCTCCCATGCAGATACATCATCCTGCCTTTGTCTCCACAATGAACATAGACTGAATGGAAGAATGGAAAGTCTTATTGGTCTGTCATGTATTTTCCTTGGATTTTCATAGGGTTTTCAAAAAGTACATTCTTGACACCCAGACATTTCATTCTCATTTCAGGCACTCACTTCAATGCATGAAAGCTTTCCAGCATAACTCTGAGCACTGTATTTTTGTTCCTTATAACTAGGCTGAACTATTTTAAATGAATCTTGAAGGCAAAAGAAATCAGCCCAAGATAGAGAGGCAACAGAGAAAATTTCAGTCTGAGTAGTGTAATCTTATCTGCTGTTTTCTTCCAGGCTAATTTAGGCCACAAGAAATCAAAACTATGTATCCAAAGTTTATTTAGAAGGAAAACACTTGTATACTGTCTATGTATGTTCCTGTGCGTTCTGATACTAATTTACTGATATGAAATTCTTGCAGTAGGAAGTTTCTGGCAACAGTTAGTAGTGTTGCTTCCTATAACATTCAGACACAGTGTAATCTCAGTTTACAGTGCAAGTAAATGTGGCTCAGATGAACCAGAGTTTCAAGCACTTAGCATTCACAGCTGGAGTCTGGGCTTTCCACAGAACTGCTCAGGTACCGATATGTTCAAAAAATCAGTCTGATAGAATTAATAAAAATAAAGGTTTATAACACACTTGCAAATATCAACTTCACATAAATTTTTTTTAGTCCTAAATTTTTATGTTTATGTAAGTTTGGAATATATACATATATATACTTATTCTGAAAAGATGCATTCATAATCAACAGTTTAGCATTCACAACTTCACTATGTGAAATTTGAAAATATATGAGTTATGAAAATAGTATTCATTCCTTATGGATACATTAATAGTTGCAAAACAATTAACAGAACTTCAGTCTGTTTCTTCATACCTTAGAATTTGAACAATATAATTGAGAAAACAGCCATGGAAATACTTCAGACAATATAATAAGAGAAGGAAATTTAGTGTTAAATATTCAGCACCAAACACCTATCAAGATTACTTACCATTATCGTACCATGTAGTGTTTAATTAAAGTTGTAGTTACCATAGCAATTGTAATTAATTTTTATTATATACAAGTAGCATTTCTGAACTACTATACTTGTAGGTGAAAAGGAACAAAGCTAACATTATTTATTAATACAATTATTACCATCCACTTAGTAATGCTAATTGGCAGCTCCTGAGGTCATGCAAACTTTTTCCTATTAATTCCATTTACATGGCATTGCACTTGATCAAGGTATTGTGTAGTGTTAGCAGTACCTTTTGGATCTATGGAAATCATGAGTCTAAGAGAAAAAATGACCAATTAAACAAATGAAAAACCCACCAGAAAGAGTGTTCTTTTTCTTTAGAGTTGGTTTCAATTTCATGATAGATATTTTGTTTTGCTCTATTGCCATTTCACCTTGGCTTTTCCTTACAGAAGAAGAAACTCGTCAGATAAAGTTTTGGATCTCAAATCGTAAAGAAAGTTTGAACAGTTGAACCTTAAAAGTTCATGAAAACAAAGAAAGTAGGTAAGCAGTTGATATATATGAGTGCATTTATTTATTTTCACATAATGAGAATTGTACCTAAATACTTTTTTAAATGTTTGAATATCTGTTGGTTCTGCAGGGAGAATAATGATCACTGAAGTCTGAATAGAACATAATAGCTGTGCAAAATACAAAATGAAAATGATACCTAGTATTGTTTTCAGACTACACTTCCCTGGTAACTAGCAATTCTGTTCTCACTGACTTCATCATCATTTACTTCGTAGTAGCTGCTTAATTTAAACATTTAATTTTAAACATTAATTGATGTTTAATTTGAAATCAACACTCTTTTAAGGATTGTCTTGAATTTCCCTCTATGTGTTCTCCTGAAAATGTGTAAAATCTATCTTTTCTGCTCAAGACTGACTCCCTTTTTCTTTTGATGTTTTGTGGCTTTCCACAAAAACATTTTCTGATTTTTGGCCCTTCTCCCTACTCAACACAGCATTTTAGTTTATTTTTAAAGGATCAAGAAAAGTAAGTCTTGAAAATTTGCTTGCTACTGCCTACTGTCTCAGGGAAATTGGATTTTATTGAAGAATCATTGCAATACATAGGCCCTTCAAGCAAACCCATTCAGAAAGATTCTTATTTCAAAATGTTCTGAAGGAACAAGAGGAAAGGAATTCATGAGATACCTCCCTGTCTTTGTAGAAGGTTTAGTCTGCACATTATTCTGATTTTGCTAGTCTTCAGCTAATGGGGTGTGTGGATTACAGAACTGGCCAATACTTACCACGGGGTTTGTGTCTTTTTAGTGTCTCTAAATTGGCAAAGAAGTCATCTGTCCTGCAGAAGGGCTCTTTCTGAGGTAAGAAGTGCAGGAATTAACATTTTCAGAATTAGCACCTTTCCTATTTGGTGTTAATGGGTAGTTTGAAGCTGTACTGTGGTGGATTTCTCCTGTTGGTAAGTCCAGGGAGGAATCTTTATCTGATGTTCACAGGAAGGCAAGCTGCAGTTCTTTCATTGTAAAATGTTTTGGAAAAGTGGTAGCTGTGAAATAATGTGAGAGGTTTTCTATTCATTAAACTGTGGAAGAGTTACTCAAGCTAGCAGTGGTACTTAGCTTTACAGAAGTTCTTCTATAAAATGCAGTGACAGTGATACAATTCACTGACTATGAAAAACTAATATTGTGCTAGGACTTCTTAAAAACCATTTTCACTACAGAAATGCACTAAGTCTGCAAGAAGCAATTTCCTGTTACCTGTTGGAATAACTGTACTTGCAAATGGGGTTTTATTGTTACTTAATTGCGTATGTTACTTAGCCTAAACAGTCATCTGCTAATAAGATAAGGAAAATCCAAGCGCAAACCTAGGCAGAGCACGGTTTATGTGAGTTTAAGAGACCAAGTCTTTCTGTCATAAATAATTAGAAGACTAATATAACAACACTGATGTTTGCCCTCCATTTTTATTAGTCTGGAGATGGATAGAGATAAAGGGTTGTTTTTATCCTGGTAGAATCTGGTTCAACTTAGGACATTCTCCAGATGACCTTAACCAGAACAGCTGAGCTCTCATCAGCAGGGGCTGTGCAGGAATCATCTGAAGTAGAAGTCAGTTCACCTCTGCTGTGAACCTCTTGAACAAGGAGAATTCATCCCTGAATTTTGGCAAAACCTAAGTGAGGCTTTGAGTACATTCATACCCTTTGTATCTCTTGGTTAGGAAAGAACTCAGCAGTGTTATAACCCTACTACAGTGACTGATGTTTGCGGAAAACTGGAGAGAAGGACTTCTCAGCAGGACACCTTGTTGGAAAATTTGTTTGATAGTGGCTGAGGTTTCAGCAGGCTGTTAGGATTGTAGCTTTTTCCCCACAGTGAGCCTGAATGCTGTCAGGGTATGCAGTGGTGTCATTGCTTGTCTAACTGCAAGCACACTCACTGTGGTGATAAAGAAATGATCCAGATTTATATCTTGATATCTTTTTTTAGGTGCCATGCTTATGTTTGAATTTTGGAAGTAAGAAATCATGTCCTCTTCCTCTCTTTGATTCTCTTGTTTGTCAGCTTAACTCCAAATGTGTGCTACTGTCGCACATACTTCCTTTCCTCTATGCCTTTGATCTGCTTATATTTGCTCCATTAAAGTTATCTTTAGGTTTGTTTGTTTGTTTGTCTTTGACTTAGACATCAGTCAGCAGCACTGCCTTTGATGGCTGAGTCTGTCTGACATCTGTCTGGGAAAATACAGTAAGCTTTCCACAGGGAGGCACCAGTCTGCTGGTTTGATTCTTTAAATTATACAGCCCTGAGCTGGGCGATATTACAGAGGACATCCAGCAGACTGGCTGCATTAACGTCTTCTGGGCTTGAGAAAAAACAGACTATATGCTGTTTTAGAAACTCTGGACCTTTGGTTTTTGTGGAAAAATACATGGAAATTTCATTAGATTATTTATTTTTTCCTCCCCCTTTTCTTGAAAGGTGAAATCTGATATTAATAGCTAGGAGATGGTGACTTCTGACAGGTATTTCTTAAAGATTTACTGTAGCTCTTTTCTGTGAATGTTACTCACTGACTCCAAAATGGTGATTTACTTCAGACTGAACAAATAATTTTAATATTCTTTCATTCAGAATGGAGAGGAACACTGTCTGCTTTCTAATGTGTGTAGGTCTGAAAAAGTCTTCTGCTATTCTAGCCTGTGTAGATCAAGAGGAAAAAATGAGTGAGGTGAGGGATTTAGAGTGGAACTACGATCAACTTTGGAGAACAAAAAGATTTTTGTAGAGTTTCAGAAACAGATAATTTCTCATTTACAAATCTGTGCTTCAGGCAGAATTCAATAAAACATATACAGCTTGTGTGGCCCTGTGAGATTCTGCAGTGTGAAATTGGATATATTTTTATTGAACTTATCTTTTAGAAATTTATTAAGTAATGGGCATAAGGTTCTGTTTCAGCTTCAGAGTGGTGTTGCAGTTTTATGATAGTAATATCCAGTTGTTCCATCTAAGATCAGACATTTGTCCTACATCCTCTCTAAGCAGAAGCTTTGTTATTTAAGTCAAATAAATGATAAGTTTGTGCTAGAATGGACTTGGATCATGAGCAAATGTTGATATATTATGGAAAAGACATTATCTTCCTCCCTTCTCTTCTAATTTTGACATTTTAATCCATCCATCAATTTATATGCACTTTGTATTTGTTACTTTGTGCATCAGTCTATGTCATTATTTATATTAGTTTCCAACTTTTAAGGTGCCATTTCAAATTTTCTTCATCATGTCAAGATTATTTATTTATTTATTTATTTTTATTCTTATTTTATTTTTATGTTGCTATTCATACTGAATTACCAACAAGTAGGCAGTGAGAGGTAGTAAGAAGACAATAAGACTAGAAATGTGTGAGGCCCTGGATCGGAAGCAGGAACTGTGGGCAACAGAACTGCTGTTGCTTGTGCTAGGATTTCCCTGTGGAGATAGGAAGCATTTTGATCCTGGAAATTGATGCCACTAATATTAAATGATTCTTTAGAAAAATCAGATCTATTCTGAAAAGCACATCCAATTTTTTTTTTTTTTCCCTCTTATAAAATCTTTCATTCTGGTACACAGCAACCTTGCCATACATCATAAAATGCTGCAAAATACTTTTAGATAAGCTCAGTATTCCTTTGGGTATATTTGCTGCTTGGATAAGAAATGCGCTATAAAAAACACTTGTAGCAGCTCTACTTTTAAGAAAATTATTCTCCTGAATTTTTTTTGCAGAGGAAAGAACCTAGAGATTTAATTTTTCTGAGTTTAGTGATAGCATTCAGCAGTATATGACCAGGAGAAGGAAAATTAATCAACTGAGAAGTAAAACAGCAAAAAGAATATCCATGTAGTTTTAACACAGAATAATTCTGTAATGCTTTTGACTTGAAAAGCAATTTAACTTTTGATTCATGCCAAATTCTTTTTCTTAAGGCAAACAATATACCGATGTTAGTCTGAGAAATTTCTTCTAAAATAATGTCTCTCTCAATTAGAATTCTGTTAGTTTAATACTGCTTCTTGTACAGTAGTAGTTTATTAAAAGGCAAAATTTTAAGCTATTGCTTTTTCAAAATCCTCATGCAGTGAGTGGTGCCTATGTACTTCAGTGTGAGCTGAAATTTTGCTGTTACTTTTCAAGATTAAGCCTCCTTCTGGGAAGAGGACTGAGATAAAAGACATACAATTTGACAGTGAAAATGAATGGATTCATAGATGCTTGATAAACCTATAAAAAAACCTGTCCTACACCTGGCTAGTCTAATCACATAGCTACTTATTCCTCTTACAGGAAAATAACTAGGCTAAATCTTTATGTATATTGGCTGGTTATCCTATATAAAGGCATCCCTACATACAGAGCACTTCCAGATGAATTTATCTATGATCTCTCTGCTGATAACAAAATCCTTGAACCTGTCCAGCTGGAGAACTTTTAAATTACCCACCCAAGTACATGCACATGCTGATTTTGAACATCTGCCTTTAATAAAATGTTTAATATTTCAAAAGTATTTGCTGAAGTATATGCAAGCAAGCTCCCATTGGTACTCTGTATGCAAAGAATTACAATCCCTATGATAAAGTGCAAAATATCTCAAAAAAGAAGGAAGAGGAAGAACATAATATTAAAATGACAGTCTTTTGAATACCTATGCCATAATTGCTAGTCATTGTATTGGCATTAATACACTGGTGGGAGAGAGTTACAACCTATCTTTTGCACACAGTAATTATTTGAAATAATGGTAGTCTTGAGAGAAATCTTCTAATAAATTAGCTGTAAGATCATCTTCTAGTTTTGGTGCCTTGCTTAATGGTGCCTATTTGAGTCTTCTTTGTCTTGTTTAATTGATTTTCCTAGACGTTTACCTGATACTTCCTATCAGGATAAATGATCAGACATGTTTAGTATCTATTACCCACATTGAATTTAGTTTTAATGTTGGGTGTTCATACGATTTAGTATAGTTACCACATTACTGTGTTAGAAATGTATCTCCAGCACCTACAGTCAATCCAGCATCATTTTGCTGAGTGAAGATCTTCCCCATCATAATTCAAAAATATCTGAAATTGAGAATATATTAGTTGTTTTAGTTAAGATTCATGAAAAGCTTGAGTTTTGTGAAAAATTGGATAGTTTTCTAGGTATCCCAATAGCTCGAACAGAAAAGGGTCCACTCATTTAATTCTCTTCCAAAACTCAACTAACTCAGGTTTGTTTGTTTGTTTGTTTGTTTAAAGGAAAATCAATTATGTAAAATCATCCACAACATTCAATCCCATGATGTGAAGCGAAACAAGTAAATTTAATATTGTGCCTCTTCTCCACATTGTGTACATACCAGAGATTTTCAGCAGCTCACAAAAAAAGTCACTGTCATGCATGTAGTTCTGCTCCTCTTGAAGCATATGGATCCCATCTTAGTAAAACTGCCAAACTTTCCGCAAATGATGGAGCCCCATCTTCTTTGCACAAGTTGGATTACTCCTGATGGGGGAAAGTAAAAGCATTCTATTGCTCCTGATGCTGGCGCTGTTTCTGTTCCCTTGTTTACTGAATGTAATAGAAGGTTAATTTTATGTGGAAGCACTGTGACTGCTCTCATATATTCTGCTTTTAAGATCATGTAGTGTTTAAAAAAGGAGCAGCAGGCTTCAAGAACAATTTACTTAGACTTAGAAAACTTGAAGTGCTGGGTTTCCTTTATTGCTCTGAGAAAGTGTTGATAGGGAAACAGATCTTACAGCACATCAAAAATTTTATCATCAGGTGATTTTTCCATTTCTGTACACAGAAGAAGGAAAATCAATTATAATCTGTAGAGAAAGTATTTGTTTTAAATAGGATATTTTAAGAACATGTCATACAACTATCTGTCTGGGTTGTCATAGAACTATGGAATGGCTTGCATTGGAAGGGACCTTAAAGATCATCCAGTTCCAACCCCCATACCCTGGGCAGAGACACATCTCAGTCCCATAGGGAATGCTCATAGCCCCAGCCAGCCTGGCCTTTAACATTTCCAGGAACAGGGAACTTGCATCATTGTCATAATCAAGAAAAAGTAAACATCTCTGATACTGAACAAGCATTTTTCTGACAAATTATTTTGACTTAGTTCATTTGGCTTGAATATTACAGATTTTGAGAGGATAATGGATTTTGTTTAAATACTTGTTTCGAAGAATTTGTCTCCTTACCTAGGCCTCCTTTTTGTTTATTTATTAATTTAATTTTGAATGTATTTCTCATTAGTAATGGAGATCTGTGGATGCAAGCTCCATTGCAGCAGCTGGCATTGAAAAGCGTGACTGTATTCCTAACTGTAACAACTTATGTAGCGTAAAATGAAGAAAGTGTCCCAGGAGATTTATTTCTGTCCGAGTTTTCTGCTTGGTAGAAAATCAGTCCCAAAGTTGTGTGTTTTTAAGCCACCTGTATCTTTTCTTTAATTTAGATCATTTGTAAGCATCTGTGAGGAATGGTTTCAGCAAACAGGGATTAGTCTCTCCCAGCTGTCTTGCATCAGTGTGCAAGAGGAATGATAATACAAGAGATGATACAAAGGCCACTGTAATTAGAATATTCAGGAGTAATCCTTGTCAGGCTTCTTAGCCAGGTTTACTGATGCTTGCAGAGAAGAAATTAAAGCTGTACCAAAATGTTATAGAGTATGACACAGTAAGGGAGAAGTGTCTGTGAAGTGAGTAAAATAAGTTGCCATACCTGGGTTTCTTCCTTGGAACTTATCAGATGGTCAAGCTCAGCAATGAAACCTAAATTTCTTTACTTTCCCTATGGTTTTTGTTCTCATTTTCGCAGTGTTCTTTGTGTGGCTGAAACTGCGAACAAAAAAGGGAACACAAAACTGCCTCTTGATGCAGAGGCAGTGTATATTAATACTTAAAAGCCATTCCAACAAACAAACAAAAAAGTAATTTTCATCTTGCTTTCTGTGTGAAGGCAGTGCATGTGCTGGAACATTGTGTCATATTTTGGAACTAAAAACTCCATATTTTATTATCTTTATCTGTCTCAAATAATTATCTTTGGGGATTATGATGTGGGTTGTGATATTCCATTCTTTCCCCTCTCGTTTTGGTAATTGTTAAATTCCTAATAAACAGTTTTATCACTCAACTGAGACTCCCAAAGGCATAATTTATCCAGTGCTGTGACAAGAGATAATAAAGCTAAAGGATCAGGATTATATTTCTTCCTTTTTTTTTTTTTTCCTTTTTTTTTTTTTCCTCCCAGAAATAGCGCTACTGTAGAATATGCAAGGTTTAAATTGGTATGACTGAGGTGAAAGGTTGACTGAGTCCTTCTCATTGCTCAGCGCTTTCTCTACATGAATTTCATCGTCTGCTTGCAACTGTTTTGTTTGTTTTTTTTTTCTCCTTCCCTTTATCCTTGGTGCTCTGAGAGGCATCTTAAGATTGTTTTCCTGTTCTCCTTCATTAGCACGTCAAAGGATGCAACTGCTGGAACTAAAGAGAAATGGTAATTAAGGAGCGTGTAGTCACCCCGCTGCCCTGGTGTTGAGCATTACAGACTGTCGCTCTGGGTGCCATCTGGTGGTTGCACAGGGCTGCAACCATTGCAGCTTTTCCTCTCATTTGGCATGATGGGTACTCCGGGTAGGTTTGAAAAGATGGATTTTGGAGGCTTCTTACTTTATCTCATTTCATTACATTTCATATTCCTTTTAATAAGATGCCAAGAAATAGTAAAGCTTAGTTAAGAAAAGAAAATCTGCACAGGTATTACATTAGTAATGTTTTTAAGTAAATGACTCCAGTGTTTGTTGAAAATGGCAAAGCAGGAGATTATAGTGTAATGATCAAAATCTTAATGTTCTCTATATTAGACATCATTTGTGACACTTCAACAGTTTCAGCTGTTTTGTTCCTTTACCATTGCTGTTATATCTGTCTGTGAGACTCCACTGACACTTTAAGCTTGAGTCATTCTTGGACTCCCTGACTCCTCTGTGTGCTCTGGAGCCCTTTTTGAGTCATACAGTGAAGACCTTGTTACACTAGTAACACAGCTCTAGTGATACAGAATGTTGTTGAACTTCAATTCCTTTGAGGAGAAAAGGTTTCTGTGGTTTTGCCCTTGGTTACTTCATAGTAAAAGTAAGGTTTGTATAAAACTATTTGGTTTGGCAGAAGAATTCACTTCCATTCTTTTGTTAGCAGCCAACAATCTTTTGGAAATGTGAAATAAATTCAAGAACTCAGGAGAAAATTGGCCTTAACAAAAATGCCTTCTGTAAGGTGTAATGTCACCAAAAACCTCCAATGCCAATAAATGAGAAAAAATAAAATATCACTGTGATATAAAGCACCTTGTTACAAATAGGCATTCAGAAAAAAAATACTGCCATGTGAAAACAGAACTAGAGAAGAACAGCTGTTTTCAATGTTTATTTCTTACAGAATCTTCTAGAGTTTTTGAATATGTAAATTTTCGGATACAGCTCGTCTACACACCTGAGGGAATAGTAAGCTTGGTTTTGGTTTATTATGTCTATCAAAAACACTTAAACTGGAATAACGTGTCCAATTGCCATTCCATTTCTTACACCTGGAGTGTCTAATTGTAGAGAAGATTTTATAGAAATTCACTTCAATTGAAACTGTTGGCATAGACATTTCAATACTATATATTAAATATTGAGTACAGGTATTTTCAGAAGCGAGATCCTATTCAGTGCTCTACGTTGCACTGAATGTGGTTATTTGAACTGCTCATGTGTTTTCAGTTTTGTTGTCTTTATTATTTTAAAGAGAATGTAACTTTTCTTAACTAAAGCAATTTTCAGATTGGTTTTATATTCCTGTACGTATAAAAATGTAGATTGAACTCCGTTGTATGTGGCCAAAAATAAGGTGGTTTTTTTCTTTTTCTTTTTTTTTTTTTTCCAAGTTAGAAGCTCTTCTACCATTTTGCAAAGTTGTTACCTGCAGAATATTTCTCAAACTAATGCAGAACTGTCGTTTTGTTCTGAATAAAAGGATCTATAGAAATAGATGTAGTTTTAATTTTTTTGTTATTTGTTTCATAACATGTAAATATACTAAGATGCAAAGGAGGATAGTGTTCTCAAATAAATTGTCATCAATGACTCAGAGAGATACATGAATAAATTATGCCTAATTACCATCACATTTATGGTTAATAAGCATGTTTCTTAATATTAAACATTAAAACTAAGTAATTTTAAAGAACCATCTGTTTTCATACATTAAACTACTGCATTCTTTCTGTAATTAATTTTATTCTCTCAGTCTTACAGGAAAGATAATATAGAAAAAAGAAAAGTGTCTATTTGTGAATCTGCCACCAAAGAAAAACAGCATGCTAATGAATACCAAGGAAATAATTAATGAGTACTGTGAGCAAACAGTATAGTATTCAGTTTTTGAAAAGCTGAACAAACAAGAGAGTAGGAAAACACAAGCATTTAGGTAAGCTTGCTCCTGCTGGTATGTAATCTTTACTAGATATTTTTTCACGGCTTTTTAACAATGTAAAAATGACACTGGGATTCCAGTAAGTCCTGAACACTATTGTGCCAGATTTCTAAACACTGCATCTCAAAAAGGTCCACCTCTTTCCTGTCTGATATAATGTGTCCACCTGGGAACTTGGCCATAAATCCTATGGATTATTGATGTACTGAGAATGTCACATTTACATTTTACTGTACAACAATTTGTAATGGTTAATTTAGGCTCTAAAGGAAAGCCTAAGTAGCATTGTTACCAGATATTTTAGAGTTGTTTTAAATCTGTACTGATGTCGCACGCTTCACCTATTAAAATATAAAATATAAAATCAAAGAAGCAAAACAAAAAGAAGAACAACTCAAAAACTCTGTTTAGATTGATGAACAGGAATGGGGGACTGTAACTTTTGATATCATTGCTGTGAACTCTGGATGGAAGTCTAATTTTGCAGGGGGACTTATGCAAGAAGGATTTCATAGAATCATAGAATGGCCTGGGTTGAAATGGACCACAGTGATCATCTAGTTTCCACCCCCTTGTATTGTGCAGGGTTGACAACCACTAGATGGGGCTTCCCAGAGCCACACCCAGCCTGGCCTTGAATGCCTTCAGGGATGGGGCATCCACAACTTCCTTCACAACCTATTCCAGTGTGTCACCACCCTCTGTGTGGAAAAACTTCCTCCTAATATCTAACCTAAACCTCCCCATCTTAGTTTAACACCATTCTCCCTTGTCCTGTCACTATCAAACTATATTTAACACCTTACTTTTCCTCCCTTTGAAAGAAAATAAGTAGTTGTTTTAGTCAGAACAAATTAAGAATTTCAGCTACTAATTATTTTAAACAACTATAAGAGTGAAATTGTTTTGTGGACTCTTACGTATTGCATCTTAAAGCCTAGCAATTTTTTAAGGAGTCTGACATTCAACACTATTCTAAGGCTGGGAAACTCACTGGATTTCTTTCCATTTCCTATTGATAGGCTCATCAGATAACAAGAAAGAGACTGAACAGACCTGTCAACTTTTGGCTTTTGTTGTCTACCTCTCTGCTTACTCAACGCTACTATTCACTGTATACTTTAAACTATTTGTAAATCCCAGGTTTCCATGTATCACTAATTTCTCCTGGAAAAAAGTAGTATGGTGTCTAATACATATAATAATTTTTTGTGGGTCCAGACTGTGGTTACAAAGGCCTAAATCTGGTTTGTCTCCCATTTTACACTGAAGTGGTTGCTTTGAATTATTTCCATCCATGTTCATCAAGGGAGAGTCAAAACAATTCAAATATATCATAGTTCAAAATAAGTTGAAGTTTAGTTTGATTAATTTTGCTGTTGAAATTTTTCATTCTACAAGTTCAGTATTGAATTCTTAGGTCCTTAATTCATAGTATGTCTAGGTTTTCTTTCCACTTCTTGTCTGTTATTTTTTATGAGGAATGTGAATCTAAAGAAAACAATCATTAATTGTATTCTAGAGGCATTCTATGAGCATCATCAGCTCATTTTTACATAGAAATCAAGTTTAAGGATGTATTTTTCCTCATTATTTTGCGTAGTTTAAATCAGTGATTGTTGTTATTGGTGCCATCATTATTATTTCACAGTAAATATCATATTCGACACCATATAAAAGGTCAATGACTTCATTTCCTCTACAATGAGACTCCAAGTGCCTCCATAATTTTCCTTCAAATCAAAGTAGGTGCCAATTTAAAACCTCCATGCTCTGCAGATCATTCTGAAACATTAATCCTTATGTTTCAGAAGAAAATACTGTTTATGTCTGTGATGTCTTGACAGTGACTTTAAATGGCAAAATGCTAAAATGCCTTTGTATTTCTAGTTTACCTTCAATAAATGTCAGATTTGAATGAGATACCTATTTGAATGCTCAGAGAGTGAAACAAACTGACTTCTCAAAAACAAACGAATAATGGAATGGATTCCTTTTTGCTCAGATATTGAGTGGATAATAAATTAAAACCATTTAAAAAAAAAAATACTTCAGGACTAATCTGAGAGTAAACGATGAGATTAAATATAGCTTTCTAGCAAAGGTTTTCAGACAAATAAAATATTCATTCATATTTGACAGAGCCAAAACAATTCTGTAAAAGTAAAGGGGAAAAAAAAAAAAACAAAAAAACAACAACAACGAAAAAAACCTTGAATACTGAATACTGCTAATACTATCATACTTGAAATCTGCTTGAGACAGTTTGAGATGCCCAAACAGCCTTTCTGCATTCGGAGTAGAACTGGGAGAAATCCAACAAAGTCCATCTCACTCTGATCACTGAGGGCCATTAGAGGATTCTGGTTACACATCTCTTGTGGGCATTGCGTGCTTGGTAAGAGGTAACTATGATGTTGATTACAGTTCACTTTGGTGTTTCAAGGATATTGCTGCTTCATCTTGACACTTCTGCAAAATACTGTTTCCTTCTCGTTTTTAATGTCAACAGCAAAACTAGAAGACTCAATTCTATCTGTTTGTAACAAAAGCAAGCAAGCACTTACCCATTCTGCAATACTGTGAATAATACAGCTAGTGGGAGAAATAATTATTCTTGATGCACACTGGTACTCCATTTTTTGATGTCCAGTAGAAGAATTTTAATATATTAGGAAAATTTATTTCTATTCACATTTTTTTCCCCTCTACAATGTATCCTTTGTAGGCCTGTAAAAATCAGAGAGCTCATATCGTAGAAGGGTGGAGGAGATGCAACCATTTTGTTAAAAACATTTGGAGTAGTGTTGGAAAGGAAAGAAACCTGCGATGTGTGATAGATGCTGGAGTTCACAGCAATGAGCCTTTCTGAAATACCTCAGATTTCCCAAACATTTTTGGGCTAGGTTTTGGAAATAAAATCTTCCATAATACTTGGACTGTGCATTGGCATGTCCACATGTTCTAATTTCAAGCTATTTTGCTTTTAATGATTGAAGTTCCTGTTCTTTGTGTTATTTGGATAAGAAAAAAAATACAAGATGATGTGCTATATACATAAGATTAATCTTTCTCCTTTGACATCTAGATATTTGTTAACAAGGAAAATACATACCCCAACACCTCTTTAAAAAAAAAAAAAAAAAAAAAAAAAAAAAAAAAAATTTTAAATATGAAGATTGAGGTAACTAAACACATTTTTAACCTTGTGATCCCTTTATAGGTCACACTCACAGAATCACAGAATTGTAGGGGTTGGAAGGGACCTCTAGAGATCATCAAGACCAACTTCCCTGACAAAGCAGGTTCCCTAAACCAGGTCGCACAGGTAAGTGTCCAGGCAAGACAATATCTCCAGAGAAGGAGACTCCACAACCCCCCTGGGCAGCCTGTTCCAGTGCTCCGTCACCCTCACAGTAAAGAAGTTCTAGTACACATTTGTGCAAAGCTTCCTATGCTGCAGCTTATGTCCGTTTCCCCTTGTCCTGTCTCCATGTACCACTGAAAAGAGACTGGCCTCACCACTATGGCCGCTACACCTCAGATATTTATAAACCTGGTAGATCCCCTCTCAGTCGTCTTTTCTCAAGGCTAAATAGACCCAGTTCACTCAGCCTTTCTTCATAGGGAAGATGCTCCAGGCCCTTCACCATCTTTGTGGCCCTCCGCTGGACTCTTTCCAAGAGGTCCCTGTCTTTTTTGTGCTGGGGAGCCCAGAACTGGACACAGTACTCCAGATGAGGTCTTACCAGGGCAGAGTAGAGGAGGAGGATCACCTCCCTCGACCTGCTGGACAAGCTCTTTTTAATGCACCCCAGTATGCCATTGGCCTTTTTGGCCACGAGGGCACACTGCTCGCTCATGGCCAACCTGTCCTCCACCAGGATGCCCAGGTCCCTCTTCGCAGAGCTCCTTTCCAGCAGGTCATCCCCCAGCCTGTATTGGTGCATGCAATTATTCCTCCCTAGACTCAAGACTCTACACTTGCTTTTGTTGAACCTCATCTGGTTTCTTACTGCCCAGGTCTTCAGCCTGTCCAGGTCTCGCTGAATGGCAGCACGTGTCAGCCAATCCTCCCAACTTCGTGTCATCAGCAAACTTGCTGAGAGTGGCCACTCTCCTATCATCAAGGTTGTTGATGAAGATGTTGAACAAGACTGGACCCAGCACAGACTCCTGGGGGACACAACTGGTTACAGATCTCCAGACTCTGCACCACCAACGACGAACATCTGTGCTCTGCCAGTCAGCCAGTTCTCACTGTCAGCCAGTTCTCACTGTCCACTCATCTATCTCACACTTCCTCAGCTTTGTTATAAGGATATCATGGGAGACAGTATCAAATGCCTATCTGAAGTCAAGGTAGACTACATCTACCACTCTCCCCTTAAAATTCCTTAAAATGAAAAAGAGGCCAAAATTTACAGTTTTTCTTTTGTAATTTAGGTTTATGCAAAAAGACTTAATTCCCTGCTTTCTACTTGAATTGTATTTATCAAGCACCTGCTAGCCAGCCATATACAGTTTTGATGCCTAGACACAAGTTTCCAAATTTTGCCATCTACATTTAATACATGCCATTATGTGCCCAGGGGCAAAGCTCTCAGAGGTATTAAAAGTGGCTTGAATTATATAGAAATGTGTTTAAGGATCTGTGTCAAGGTGCCTTGAAATACTGAGACCTGAAGACCATCTGGTTCTATCAAAAGCTAATGTGTTAGACAAGTCAAGCAGTTCTCAAAAATCAGGCCACTTAGAGCCTCAATATGCAACATGCTGAGCAACTCCTGCCCTTCAGGATCAAGCTTCTTTTTAAAAATTTAGGTTTGAAATGTTGGACATAATTAATTTTCTGCTATGATTAGTTTGAGGCCAAACAATGGGATATAGATCACAGATCTAGGCTTTAGCTGGATCCTAAGGACATCCTTACTTTGAAATGTAATATGCCTGAAGAAAAAAGAGTCTCCCACACACTTTGTTCCTTATGAGAATTTAAATATTTAATGTGGGAGAACGTAGAGTTACATTTTAAGCCTGTGTACTGAGTATAGCTATTGAAGCCACACTTATTTCATACTTCTCTGTTAAATTTGTTCTTTAGAAATCCTTTTGATGATTTATTTCTCATGTCAACAGCCATTATAGGGAACAGTACAGAAACATTTCATGTTATTGTTAATTTTTTATTAGAGTTTATTATTTTAAATTGTTACATTGATGCTAAAAAAAAAAAAGCAAAACCCACTTTATTAATCAAAATCCCCAACGCAGCAAATTACAATGTACTATTTCTGCTGAGGTTTTTGTATGTTTTTCTTTTTTTTTTTTTTTTTTTTTTAATGTTTACCCTTTTTCAGGGTTATAAATAATGAATGTTGTTTTTTTGTTTTTTTTTTTTTGTTTTTTTTTTTGTTTTTTTTTGTTTTTTTTTTTTTCTCAGAAGGCCTTTGCAGCAGTCCTGAAATCCTGGAGGTCTGTGGTAAAGGACACTAAATGTAGTATCACCCAGTCTACTATTTGTTTTTGTTGTTTGTTTTTGTAAATAGAGACAATCCTTTACTGGCAGTTTACAATTCTCTCCTCACATACCTAAATGTCTATGTTGTACTAAATTTCATTGTTGCTCTTATCTACCAGAATAGATTTCTTGTTATGAATGTAAACACAAAGCAGCTGTGAATTTTCAGCTGTGGCTAATATTTGTTTGTACTGCTTGGAAAACAGTTATCTGGAATATTCATTGCTTTTGTATATTTCCCATTCACCAGAAATGACAGTCTCCCACTGCTTTGATGGAGATTACACAAAAAATCCGGAAACTTTTCAAATTGTAATTTGCTAAAGCACTTCTACAAGCTCGAGAAAAAAAAAAACAATGAAACAACTCCCCACACACACATATGCAAGCCCCACAGGAGAACGTTTAATTTCCTCACAGAGCTTCCTCCTTTATGCAGCTTGGATCCACAGGTTTCCTTCTTCTTTTGCCTTTTCTTGTGTCTTTGCAATACTGATAGTTGTTCTTACTCCATGTAGTCAAGAACATAGATAACTGGAGTATTTGCCTGTTTATTGAGTATATCTAACTCAAAAAATTAAGGAAAAGGATTCCCTTTTTCTGACCAGAGAAGTTATGTGAGCTGAGAACACCTACTTGTACATTTGTAGCATTCATTCTAGCAAAAAAAAAAGGAAAGAATTTTCTGAGAAGTCTTCTATGATAAAGTTCAGACTTCAACAGAAAGTGTGCAGTAGCTTAACGAGCTAGAACTTATGGCCTGGTTTGTCTTCTTCCTCTAAGATTTCTCTGCCATTACTTTTACTAGTTCAGCTGCAGTGCTTATACTGTTGGTAGTCTACTACAAAGAAGCTACTGCAAGGACAGTAGCAGAATCCAGCTGAAACTTGTCACCATTAACTCTACCAGTGCAATCTACTGGCTCCAGCTTCAAAGGTCAAGCAAGCAGCACTCTCATCCTACAATGGCAGTTCAGTTCTCTAAGTGTCAGACAGTGATGCTCCTTTCCTCTTTGTATCAGAACATACACAGCATAAGCATAAGCAGGGAAATATATGTATATATTTAGTAGCTGCTGAGAGAAGCATCCCTTCTCTGGAGCTAGCTTTGAGAGTATCTAATTTATGAATATTAAGATGCTTTAAAAACTTAGAGCATAATTTGTAATGATGATGCTGTTGACTAAAATAAATTTGAGATTCCAGAAGCAGCAAGAAAATTTCCTAACAGGAAACACCTGAAATAAACAACATAGTGGAATTTCTGCTTAGGCATACCAGTGAATAAACTCATAACTATCTTTTGCTCTGCACGGTTATGCAAAATCTCTGCTGCTGTCATTGTGTACTGATCCCAAGTGGTATGTTGAAAGTGAAACACAGATGAAAAAGAATGTAGGGTGGATGGAGAAAAAAGGTGAGAAAAATACTAAAGAACTTAGCTTGGAGGGACAGAAGGGCTTGACTAGTATTTTTTCTAGATGTCTCGTTTACTGAATGTAAATGCTCCAAGTTGCTCAAAAGAGCTAAGCAAACTTCCCTCCTTTTCAAAGGATTTTAACACATCCCACATGATGCTTTTACAATTTTTTGAATACGGT